TATATATACACACACACACTAGAATTTAACATTGAAAAACATAAATTTATATAACAATTAACTATATTATAAAGCCATAGACATAACAATTGAGTAGTAAAAGGTTTCCAAGTTGAGAAGATAGCTAGGCGTTAGAATGGAGATTGGTGTCTGGTGTGCGTCAAAATCATGTCTAGTAGTCGTGTGCGTTGTTGCCTTTCGAGTTGTATACACTTCGAATAACCTAATCGATCGTGCTCCTCAACCTTGTTTTTGAAGAAACGACCGAATTTGATCCGTTCTATAAATTGGTATACAACCGGTTGTGGTCGTTGTTGAACTGGTCTGGTTTCCAATCCAACGGATTCAACCGTCTGGTTTACACCCATGGTTGCAAAAATCGTTAATCAGTGGACTAGCGATTAAGGATTAATCGGCTAGACGGAGATTAATCGGGGACCATTAATTATTAAGAAAATGATTCAAAATTTTATAAATATAATTTTATTCCTACAAAAAAAGCGATTAATCGGCGATTAGGTCCGATTAGGTCCGACTTTGACTGCGTTGACAAAACCGGATTAGGTACGATTAAGTCCGATTAGGTCCGATTAGGCCCGATTAGGTCCGATTAATTCCGACTTTGACCTGTATTGATCAAACCCGATTAGCAATAAATCTCATCGGTGGAGGTCCGATTAGCGATTAATCGCCGATTAGGTCGATTTCTGCGTTTACACCTGGTTTTAAAACATTACTGCAGAACCTGGATGACCATAACATTATTTTTATATTGGTACATTTTTCATGGTTTTTAAACTAATAAAAGAAAAAAAAATGTTTTTTTTTTTAAAAAACCAAGGTGGTTTACCAGAGAGTAAAAACAGGGACTTTAATTAACGGGAACACTACTTAATTTATCTTGGACATGAAAATTACCTACAGAGTGAAAAAAAAACCTGGAATTCATCATTTATGAACTCTTATCTATATATACTGCTTTAGCTTACCCTCGTAAAACACCCAACTCAAAGACAACTCAACAAGTTCAATAATGGATATCTTCTATGCTTCTCTTCTATCTCTGTTTGTGGTCGTCATCTCATGCTCCCTTCGTTTTGGTTTCTTTATATCTAAGTTGGTTGTAGATACAAAACTCCCACCTGGCGGCAGAGGTTGGCCGGTGATCGGTGAAACAATAGAGTTTGTCACCGCCGGTAGGAAGGGCCACCCTGAAAAGTTCATCGTCGATCGCATGACTAAATTCTCGCGTCATGTCTTCAGGACCTCTCTGATGCTAGAGGATGCTGCAGTGTTCTGTGGGCCCGAAGGTAACAAGTTCTTGTTCTCAAATGATAACAAACTTGTTCAGTTTTGGGTGCCTGCTTCGGTAAAGAAGATTATCCCTTCTGTGAAAGGACTGCAAAACGAAAAGACAGTACCCAAGATGATTCGTAACCTTTTCAAGCCTGAAACTCTACGGGAATATGTTCCAATTATGGACATGGTGGCACAGAAACACTTTGAAACCAAATGGGAAGGCAACGACCAGATTTTGACCCATAAACTCACCAAAAACTTCACTTTTCTTGTTGCATGCAAAATCTTCTTCAGTATCGATGAACCCGAATGGGTCAACAAACTATCAGTCCCGTTCGAAAGACTTGCTCCAGGGCTTTTCTCCATCCCCATAAACCTCCCGGGAACACTGTTCCGGAGAGCAATAAATGCAGGCACCTTCATCAGAAAAGAACTCACTGCAATAGTAAACAAAAGGAAGAGTGATTTGGTCGATGGGAAAGGTTCGCCTACACAAGATATTTTGTCGTTAATGCTTTGTGATGACTATGGAAGATTAATGACAGACAGTGAAGTCGCTGACGTTATCATGGGGATGATAATCGGTGGCTATGACAGTACAAGCTCAACATGTACTTTCATTGTTAAGTATCTCGCCGAGTTGCCTGAGATTTACGAGGGAGTCTACAAAGGTATTGAAATTAGTAACAGAAAAGAATCACTTTATTTTTCATCAAAACATGAGCATTTCTTGCTTAGTTTATTTATGTTCTTTATTCAATAGTTTTTTCCTAAAAGCTTTTTCAAATTCAAATGAGCTAGCATATAATATAACAAGTTAACATCTTTTAATGAATTTCTCTAAGCGTTTTTTGGCTGGTAGTGAGTAGTGAGGATTCAAATATCTTCAAATTCTTAGGACATTCCCTAAAATAAATATATATATATATATATATATATATATATATATATATATATATATATATAGACAGAGAGAGAGAGGCGTAGCCACTTTATCAACATACTAATAATCAATTTT